AATAGCTAAAAGCCTGGTCCTAACGTTATGAGAACGATATCGAAGACCGTTCCAGGGGAAAAGAAGTTACCTCACGTGACACCTAAGAAATACTAGTTACTGCTCACTATTGTTGAACGGTATATAAATTTTCTCTTCAGTTACGGCGATAAGAGTTTGGAAAAGTGTGGGAAAAGGCATGTCCAAAATTTTTCTGTGAAAAACTTGAAAAGCTGAAAAATGATTTAGTTCGATTTTTATACTTGGTAAATGATTAAAAAAAAAAAAGTTATATATTGTTACAGGACGTACTGTATAATTACCTAATAAGTTAATAATGGTCGTTCTCAACCTCTATTAACTCATGCTCGTTCGTTCCCTCATGTTTAATTTTCCTAATTAGGTTGAGCTCATGTTACGTTACCAAGTTCATTTAACATTACCGTATTATAATTATCCACTGTTCGATTATTTAAATTCTTATTGGTTAATAAATAATGTTGATCAGCATTTATGATATGAACAAGCTTACTTAGCAAAGCCTAAAAAAATGTATAGTTTAATTATTGTTAAGCAAGAACAAGAGATATTTAATCAATTTAAAATGTTAGGAAAAAAATATTTTTTTAATATATAATGATAAATAATAAAAAATTAATGTTTAATTATAACTAAGATCTGTTATAAATAATCTCTCCAACTAATAACTTATAAAGCTGAATTTCATTTAACTTTCTAATAAAACATTTTTTATTAAAATTGATCAAGTGCATTAATTAATTTTCAATTAATATATAATTACAGAGTTGAATTTTTTATTATAATGCTCCGATTAGCCATTTTGATCATCGAATCCACAAAAAGTTCGCGATCTAAAATATGGTAGATAAAAAAATTCAAGCGCATTTTTTTACACTATTACGATCATAAAATTTTTTAATGGAACAAAAATACAAATAATAACGATAACTTCCTAAAAACTTACCTAAAATTCACAACAAAACCCTCATTCAATTTTGTGCATCAGAAGAATAAAAATAATTGGTTAATCAAAAGCATCAAAATGTGCATCAACCGAATTGAACGAATTATTTGCATAAACCTAAATATGTATTGCTCAAAACCTTAGTTTTATCATTATCGTAAATATTTAAACCAAGCTTTTCATATGTCATCCAAAATGCTTCATATAATGCCGTCTTCCAGAACTTGCTGTAAACTTCGGCAAATTTTTTACTTCCCATGTACACTTCGACAAGAATGTCACTATCATCTTGATAAATACAATAATATTCTGGATGCGCGTTAAAAGCTTTCATACTTGCATCATTTACTTTAGTTGAATAATCGCCGAATACCCTCCAGCGAGTGTAAGGGATAGAATGACAACGTTGTTGGATGTGAGAATCTATCGTATTATCATTAATTTTTAAAATTTCGGGATCCGTGAAATGTCCTGAAAAGGTTTTCTCCAATATTTCGTTTTCGTTCGCTCCATCTTCATTGTTGATGACGGCTATCAGTAATTTTTCGAATATGTCTCGAAAAATCGGATCGATAAAATTAAATACTTCATTTGATCCATATTTTGTGTAAATAGTTCCGATCCGTGCTTTGATAAGGTTTGAATATGATTCGTCTGTTAATTTCCTTGCATGTGATGAACTTGCGTCGTGATTTAATGATTTCACAATCCTCGCAAGTACCCGATCTGTTACACAAAACAGAATTACCGTTTGAAGTATCTCACCGTCACGACTATGATTTTGAGTTGATGAAATTCTACTAATGCCAAGATTAAGTACCCACCATCCAGTCTCTATCATTTTCTCCAGCTCTCGGTTATTCTCGATGTTATTCATTTCGAATATACTATATCTCGTGATCTCTGATATCAGATGAAATAACGATAATAATTATTATTAAAAACTTTGGAATAAACAAATTATCACATTTAATTTACCATTTCCATTAGTATCTGCTATCATCTTGTAGTTTCCGGCATTTATTGAACTGACTTTTTGTCGTTTATCATTAATTGTTCCTTTATCTTGATTCTTTTCATTCTCTTCGGTAACAATTGCACCATCCCTCTTTCTTATTTTAGATTTCACACTGTTCAATGGAAAAAATTCGCTTTGAGTTCGTGTTGCTGATTCTTGTCCTTGTGAAAAAGCTATTGGGAAAGTTTGATTCGGTTGAACTTGACTTTCTTGACTATTTTCTACATTAGCTGTGAATGTTATTTCATGTGTCGATAATTTGGATTCTGCTGTCATTAATAACCAAGACAATAATTGATCTAAATATGGTTCATTTAGTGCTTTCGTTAATGCGAGGAAATCACTTGGCTTTAGATTCACCTTTTCTAACAATTTATGAAAGATATCATTTGGATTGCTATTGTGGCTTTTAATTTGTTGTCTTGGCTGTGCTTGCAACTCTGACTTTTGAGCATTAGCTTCAATTTCACCCGCAAGGCTAGAAAAAAAATATGGTATGTCTATATCTAGGTCCATTTTGAGTGAATTGTTGTTAAGTTTTTCGGTAAAAATAAAAATCTTTGATGATTAAAGATTGACATGACGTGAATAAATTCCGATTGGCGGATCAAGAAGTATAAAAAATTTAGTTTTTCCGAAATTTTTGTTTTGCGCCAAAGTTCATTCACTTTACCAAAATTTCCTCTCTAGACGCATTCTTTACACATGAACGTTCCTGGTTATTTAAAAATTTCTGACTTGTTACGTCAAAATGAAGTAAAGGAAAAGGGTAAAGGAAAAGCCAATGCCGCTGATCTTGCAACAGTCTTGTTAAAACATGCAAACAAAGTTCAAGAAGAATGGAAGAATAATTTGTCAAATTTCAAAGAAATTCTTCAAAAAAGTCGAAGGTGATTTAAATTTCTTTGGATCTTTATGTGATATATATGATTTTTATCCATTTCTTTTAATAATCGAATCTTTCAATTAACATGTAGTATTCAAAACGAATTTCGAGGTTTGTTTTTTCGTATTTTATGAAGGAATTCCCCTTTTTCTATTGAAACTTATTCGTCGAATTTAATTAGATGATGAATTATTGGAAGATGAATATGGATCTGATCTTATATATAACAACCTTCCATCTACATATTACTATGATGACTATTCCGATAGTGATTCTGGTACACATGATGAAGATCTCGACTTTGACCGGGATAAAAATGTGTCATATGACAAGGAATGGTTACTAGGGTATGTATTAATTTTTATTTATTTATTTATGTTTTTCCTTTGTATAATTCATTTTCTATTTAATTACAATCATAATTGGATCTCCAGTCAGTGTCAATTACATATTGCCTCATTCTGTGATGCAGATGGAGCGATAACTCCCGAAAAGTTATGTACAAGCATTTTTACAATACTAAGGTCAGATATGGGAGGTTAGTATTGTAAGATTATAATTTTGCTTTTGTTTCTATTAATTAATTACTATTGATAATATTTTCCAGATGACGATATTCAAACAGAATTGGTTGATCTCATTGGCTTCGATAACCTAAATTTTGTTACTACACTGGTAACTAAACGGTTGACAATCCTTGAAAATATTATTAGTAAATCACTATTAGTAGAAACCCCACCAGTAAGTCTAATTTATTAATTAAAGTTGAAATTTCGATCTTTTATTGCACAAGTTTTATTTAATTCTGGTCCTATTTTATATAGGATTCACAGAAGCATTCCTCTATTACTATAATTAAACCTAAAGATAAAAATCCAGTGAATGAAAGGATACCAAAGCATGTATGGAGGGATCAGAAAAAAACAGCAAAACAAAAAAGCACAGGTGTCTATTGCTCCTTTTTTTTTTTTTTTAGATAGATTGATTATTGGAAATTTTTTTTCAAAATAAAAAATTAATGTCGATTATAATTCCATTTTGCAAAGAGGAAGAAGATTTGAACTCGGCAAATATTTTAGGGTTTAGTGCTGATAAATTACGAGCAATTCGGGAACATGCATTGCGTACCGCAACAGATAGTCCGCTACGTCCCAAAAGTGTTCGTTTTTCATTAATCAAGTTCTTCTGTAACAAATGTTTGATAAATTAGTTATTATATAATTTATATAATTATTTATATATTTAACATTCATATTATATATATAGTCCACTCCATCTGAAAATTATAAACACGTTTTTGGAAATGCCCAGACGGGTAGCGTACTTTCCGTGTTTGGAAACACATATTCTCTACCAGTTGGCACTAAACGTGAAGATTTTGAAGTAAGTAATTCATCTTATGATAAATATTTATCAGATTATTTATTATTAAACAACAATTATTTATATAGGATCACGAAGAAATTATCATTCCGATTACTAGGCGAGCTCTACAGATGGAAAATGAGAAGTTAATTCATCTGAATGAAACCGATAATCTTTGTAGGGGTTCGTTTAAGGCAAGTTTTATACATTTATTTACATAAGATGAATCGCTTTTTAACTTTAATTTGATTCAATAGTATAAAACACTGAATCGCGTACAATCACTTGTTTACCCTGTTGCATATAAAAAAAATGAGAATTTATTAATTTGTGCCCCTACCGGAGCGGTATGTATTAATTTCGCATATTGAAGCTGAACCATATTTACCTAACGAATTTATTATAGGGAAAGACAGATATAGCCATTCTTACAATACTACGTACGATAAAGTGCTATTGCTTTCCGGAACCGTTGGTCCAACAGGAGCCTCAAGAGTTTATAATATATCGAGATGATTTTAAAATCGTGTATATTGCTCCTATGAAAGCTCTTGCTGCCGAAATTGTAAAAAAACTTGGCGATCGACTAAAGTGGCTTGATGTGCAAGTTAGAGAACTTACAGGTATCTTAATTATTCCTGTTAAGTACACAGTATTATTTATTTGTGAAACTAATTTATCTGAATAATTTAGGAGACATGCAACTGACTAAATCTGAAATTTCAAATACACAAATTATTGTTACGACCCCCGAAAAATGGGATGTGATTACAAGAAAAAGCACAGGAGACGTCGAGCTTTCTCAAGTATGGTTTTTCCATAAATTATTTTTTAATTTTCAAGTAATATAACATACTTATGATACTTTCTATAATCTCACATTATATGCAGAAAGTGAGACTTCTTATTATTGATGAAATTCATTTATTACATGAGGATCGTGGTGCTGTTCTTGAAAGTTTAGTCGCACGTACCCGTCGTCAGGTATTATATAATTTTGAACTCATGAATTATTTGTTTACATACGATTTTTGCTTAGTAAATTATTTACGAATTATTCTAGATCGAATCAAGTCAAAATATGATCCGTATTGTAGGCCTTTCCGCTACGTTACCAAACTATGTCGATGTAGCTCGATTTTTAGGGTATATATATATTTTTTTTAACGGTATATTAGATTTAATAGAATAAAAAAATATATATATAAACTTCTTATAGAGTTGATCTAAAAAATGGTGCCGAGGGATTATTTTATTTTGACGGTGGTTTTAGACCTGTACCGTTAGAACAACATTTTATTGGTGTCAAGGGTAAGCCCGGCTCAATTATTTCTAATAATAACCTCAATATGGTTTGCTGGAAGAAAGTAAGATTTTTAACAAGTATTTAAGCATTTTATTGAAATTTCATTGAAATTTCATTGAATATTTTTAACTTTTTTTTTCTTTATTGTTCTATAGGTCTTGGATCTCATCAAAGAAAAACATCAAGTGATGATTTTTGTTCATTCACGTAAAGATACCGTTAAAACGGCAAAGGTGCTACATGAGTTTGCATCCGAATATGGATGTTCAGGTAATGACTAATTTCATTTCTTGTTATAAAGAAAATTTTTTCACAAGCTAAAGTCCTTTTGACATTAATAAATATAATATTAGATTTATTTGATGTGTCTACTCTTGAAGGGTATAGTCTTAGAAAGCGAGATGTTACGAAATCAAGAAATAAAGAATTAAAAGAATTATTTGAATATGGTCTTGGTATTCATCATGCCGGCATGTTGAGAGCTGATCGATCAATGACAGAGCGTTTGTTTTCTGAAGGATTTATAAAGGCATATTTACCTTCCAAAATAGAGTGATTCAACTATTCTAACTTGTTATATCATAGTAAAGGTTATTTTTTGTATTACTTAGGTCTTGTGTTGTACTGCAACGTTAGCTTGGGGTGTAAATTTGCCGGCTTATGCAGTAATAATTAAGGGAACGCAAGTATATGATTCTCAAAAGGGTAGATTTGATGATTTATCAATTTTAGATGTTATGCAGATCTTTGGTAGAGCAGGTCGTCCCCAGGTTTGTCAACATAATGCTTTGTTTTTGTTTTTAATTTTATTTTATTTTATCTTTTTTTTTTTAAATAAATAAATCTTTTTTTACTTATATATAATCCTAATCAATTAGTATGAAACGCATGGCGTTGGCTATATTTTGACAACAAATGACAAACTATCACACTACGTGTCTGCAATGACACAACAACATCCTATTGAATCAAAGTAAATCCATCCTAGCTTGAACTTGTATTTGATTGGTGAATCACTATTCTAATCTATTTTGATTAATTCCATAGATTCGTAGATAAAATGGTTGACAATTTGAATGCGGAGATTTCACTCGGCACAGTGACAAATGTTGATGAAGGAGTTCGATGGCTGGGTTATACTTATCTGTTTGTACGTATGAAAAAGAACCCACTTGTATATGGAATGAATTATTCGGAAATAGAAAATGATCCAGAGTTAGGTAAACAACGACGCGAACTTATTGTGAATGCTGCAAAGACACTTCATAAAATTGGAATGATCAAGTTCTACGAAGATACTGATTATTTCGAAATTCAAGATATTGGTCGAATCGCTTCCAATTATTATATAACATACAAAAGCATGGAAATCTTTAATGAAAAACTGAAAGAATCTATGAAAGAAGCCAATATCCTATCAATAATAAGTCAAAGCAGCGAATTTGCGGATTTGAAATCAAGAGAAGAGGAGGCTAAAGAACTTGAAAGACTTAAGGAAAATGCTTGTCCTTGTCAAATTAAGGTTGTATCATATCCCGGTGATGATGAAATTTTCTAAAGAAATTATTAACTTTTCTTTGATTTATTATTATATAAATAGCAAACTACCGATGATACTGCTGGAAAAGTCAATATTTTATTGCAAGCATACCTATCAAATGCTAATCTTGAAGATTTTGCTTTAATATCTGATTCAGCGTATGTAATACAGAATACTAGTCGCATAGTTCGAGCTTTATTCGAAATTGCTTTGAATCGTAACTGGGCTCAAGTTTCGTCCATTTTATTAGATTTATGTAAATGTATTGACAAACGTATGTGGACGTTTGAGAATCCTTTGGCTCAATTTAAACTGCCTCGAGAGATTATAATGAAGCTTCAAAATAATTCACACATCCCTTCATTAGAGGACATGAGAGATATGTCCTCGGCTGATCTTGGACAATTAGTTAGGCAGAA